GTTCTACACCTAACCCTTCTATCTAACCTTCCAACTGTGATCGTGCCAGAGGATACATACAGACTGGAGAAGTCAGGGATAGAACCACCAATCCTTCAAATAGTAGATTCCTTGCTCCACCTCGTGAGCCACAGCCACCACATAATTTAAATCCCAGTATGTTCAAATCATGCTGAAGGTTCAAACACCATCTTTTTTCAGACTAGATACTCACGCTCAGACTGCTCAGGAGTGAGGACGAGGACCTTAACTTCGGTTGAATCCGACTGGCCGATAGTATCCGTAACAGTCAGCTGGAACCTGTATTTCCCAGATGTCAGGTTGGAAACAACCATTTGGTCTTTAAATTGGATGTCCTGTAGGGCATATAAAGACAGTGTCTCACGTTTTATTTAGTGAAACAGCAGGTGGAATCAATACAGTTATAGCAGATATTCCTATAAATAAATGCCATCGTCTTAAAATAATGGTGGTAAACTCAGGTTTGTCACTCTCCTCACCTCATAGACAGCATATAGATATTCAGTGAGCATTTTCCACTTGTAGGACACAATCCCTTTGTCATCTCTGCTTTTCATACCATTCAGTACCAGGTTTTCATGAGGCTGGATCACCTGGCCCGGACCTCCATCGGCCACTGGACGACGGTCATCAGTATCTAGAGCGAAACCGTGAGATTAGTGGGAATCACATTTTGACCAGTTTTAACAGAAAATGTAAAAGAAATAAGCAACAAAACAAAAACAGTACAAGCAACTAAACAAGCTGAAGAGAGATGAACATGCTAACCCTTCCAGGCATGTAGGAACACGCAAAACTGAAGATTACTGCCATAGATATGAAGAACAAGATATGCTTGTTATCATTAAACAAAACAAAAAAAGGGTGAATCAAAACTAGTGGATTTAATTATCGGAGTGTACTAACAAATTTGGCAAATTCATGACCTTTAAGCATTTAAACAGGACACCCTCACAATGTCTGTTGTGAAGTTGGGTTCCTTAGAAAAAAGAAATGTCACTACTGGATGTTCCCACAGTTATAGTCCGTATGCATGTCAGATATTCACAAAGGCATAACTAACAACACTATGACAAATATTATTTTGTGAGTTTTGGCCTTACCTGGGTCGGGGTGATTAACATGATACCTGCTAAAAATGTTCTTGTGGATATAACTGTCGTATCCTTTCTTCCCAACAAAGTGGCAAACGTATTTCTGTTTGTACAGGCAATCAAAGAGAAAGCAGGAGCTGATCGTGCCTCCCTCCTCTCCCTCCTCCATGAAGGCGACATTGCACCTGGAATCTTTGCAGCAGGCTTGCACGCAGTCCTTGTGTCGATACAGTTTCGGCGACGAAATAAACGTCGCTCCGTCTTTCACAGATCCGTCGGCATCGAGCACAAAGTCATCCCGACCTTTCTCGAATTGGGCCAAGCATTCCTCACCAACCTGCTGACCAGCGGTGGTTACAACAAGTAACAAGAGCAGCAGCGCACACGCACCCGACCGTCCTTTAATTAATGAATACATTATTTTAAAATAAGAGTCCCACAATGGCAAATTGACGCAAATAAAATCCAGAAGTGAAAGTGAAATCGGTTCAATATATATATATATAAAAACAGCCACAGTTGGGAAAACTTATAACAAAAAACAACCTAAAAAGAGAGACCAGTTTAGGCCTCAAAGCTAAACAACACTTCTCCTGCTCGGCAGTCGACTCTGATTAAACTCTCGAGAAACTAACAACTTCCTGATATTCCACAAGACGTATCTGAGTGCTACCACACTGATCTGACGCTTTACGAGACTGAAACTCAGAAGAGATTAACCTGTTTGATGTCGGCAAAAACCACGGACTCAACGACATAGCCCAGGTGACTCACCTGAGATACAGGAAGTGAAATTCCACTCTTGAGCCGCGCCACTCCCTTCTCTCTCCTAACAAAACAGGGACAGAGGAGCGAGCGTGTGAGTGTAAAGCAGCACTGTAAACACCCGGGCGACACTCCAGTCAATCATTCAGTCCTCAACCTTTAGGGTTGATTTCAAGTTACATTAGTAGATAATATCTAATAAAATAATATCAGTCAGCAATAAAACAACTAAACAAAACACACGTATTTATTTTAACGCTATACAAACGGCTGTTTTATTTTTAAAAATGAATTAGTAAATGAGATAAATCTAAAAATCCGTCAGATAAACCAGTCGTGGGCAACAAGAGAAAATACAAATATTAAAATGAATGAATATAGAAAAATACTATTAAATCTTCTTTCATAGTAATCAGAAATGTAAAGCGAAAACCAACAATAAGATCTTGAGAACTCTGCGTGCCACCAGTTTTAACGTGCATGCGCACTGAAGTCTCTCGATCTGCATTGAGGGGATTAACGCTATCTATCTATCTATCTATCTATCTATCTATCTATCTATCTATCTATCTATCTATCTATCTATCTATCTATCTATCTATCTATCTATCTAT